CACGGGTACCTCAGGACCCGCCCTAGCTACGCCACTGTGGGGTAGCCCTCCTCCTCCTACAAACAACGAGTTAAAAATATGAAGCGATACTACACACCAAAACATTTAATAAGAGATTTATTATTCAACTGCTGTAGTCAATAAATTTATCAATGACAGAGGGAGAGTGTGACAGTCTTGCGTGCGCGCGCCAACCTGTACGGCAAACAGGTTTTATACTGTACAAATAACTGTACAATATTGCTGTATATTTGAACTGTTATTTGTACGGTATTCGCTGCAGTTGGATAATAACGCGTTCTTATTCTGTTGGCACCGTTGCCGTCAAAAACCACTTCAAATTGATACACAATGATATGAGAAGCGTTTCAGCGAGAACCTACAGTACAAACTATTTTCAACGACTGACTCTGGAAAGCTGGTACACCAACTTACAACAAACGCCTCTTAACACACGTCAACAAGTACCGGCGCCTTATTATCCGCGACGTAAACGAAACCGACAAACGGACTTCTAACATACGTATTTAATTTAACTAACAATAGTCGGACCTCTTACAGACCGATGTGACTAACAATAGACGGTCGAAACCGACCAATGACCGATGACAAACTTTACACGAGTCTTTTAGCCAATCCAGACTTGTAACACCATCGACTGGCAAGCATTATTCACTTGACTCTGAGGATGACTTCCGCTCAGGTTGTCGAAACGTCAGTCACCAACAACAGTTCTTTTCCGAACTGCCCTTACACGGACGATCCACGATCACATAACAAAAACTAAAGAATGTTTTGTAAGCTACACCTATGGTGAAACAATTCCATTTTATTTTTTGCGCAGTATATCGTAACCAAACAAACTTGTTGGATTAACATTATCATAACTGTGAAGAGTCCAGTGAGTGCTGCTACCTCCAGGGGCTTTTAATTCACAAAAAATAACTCTTGAACGCCTTGACTGCCTATGTTTAGGAAAGCGGAGAAATAGCTAGAAATTAATTGTACCACTAAAAACACCGACTAACTAAATAATCGTCTCCAAAAAATGTATCAAAAAAAGAGCAACATCCTTTTCAATCGGATCAATTTAAAAAAGTCCTTGCATTAAAAAGTTCTAAACGAGCTCTCCCTATGTGCCAGTAATATGAGATTCAAGGAAAATTTATTAATATCAACTGTCAGAGTTGATTGAGTTGACTTTCATTGCCTCAGCAACGGAAGCAGCGCCAGCATCACCAATGTTATTACTTCTCAGATTCAGCTGTTTCAGTGTTGTGTTGACTTTCATTGCCTCAGCAAGGGAAGCAGCGCCAGCGTCACCAATGTTATTAGACGA